TCCCATAAGGGTTGTGTGTATAGTTCTCTCCCTTAACATAGAGTCGATCCAGGACACGCATGTGTCCTCGATTCCTCTGTGTTTGAGAGATCTAATAATCGATTCAACGGAGGTATTGTCAAATGCACCCTCGATATCCAAGAATGCTCCCAGCATTACCTCCTTGTTTTCCAGTGTGTTCTCCACCCTTTTTATTAGTTGATAGAGAGCTGTTTCAGTTGATTTTCCTGCACTATAGGAGTATTGGTCTTGGTATATTGGCCTTTGAACCAATATCCCGTCTCTAATATGCCTATCTAGCAGTTTTTCCAAAGTACGAAGGACATAAGACTTATTGGTTTCTTGTCCCATTTTCCCAGGTTTTGGTATAAAAGTTACCCTAATATTTCTCCAAGCTTTTGGTATGTGCCCAAAGGCCAGGCTACTTCTGAGTATGTTACCGAGTCTGCTGTATAAAATATCAGGACCTCTTTGTAACATTATTGGATAAATCCCGTCCATGCCCGGTGATTTATATGGTTCGAATGAGCTAATTGCCCATTTCAGTTTATCATAGTTCACCACTTGTTTGGCTATCCTCCAATCTTCCCTGCTGGCTCTATTATGAGCTGCCAGTCCGTTTAGATTCCGGTTAGCCGGTGTGTGTGTGTGTGTGTGTGTGTGTGTGTGTGTGTGTGTGTGTGTGTGTGTGTGTGTGTGTGTGTGTGTGTGTGTGTGTGTGTGTGTGTGTGTGTGTGTGTGTGTGTGTGTGTGTGTGTGTGTGTGTGTGTGTGTGTGTGTGTGTGTGTGTGTGTGTGTGTGTGTGTGTGTGTGTGTGTGTGTGTGTGTGTGTGTGTGTGTGTGTGTGTGTGTGTGTGTGTGTGTGTGTGTGTGTGTGTGTGTGTGTGTGTGTGTGTGTGTGTGTGTGTGTGTGTGTGTGTGTGTGTGTGTGTGTGTGTGTGTGTGTGTGTGTGTGTGTGTGTGTGTGTGTGTGTGTGTGTGTGTGTGTGTGTGTGTGTGTGTGTGTGTGTGTGTGTGTGTGTGTGTGTGTGTGTGTGTGTGTGTGTGTGTGTGTGTGTGTGTGTGTGTGTGTGTGTGTGTGTGTGTGTGTGTGTGTGTGTGTGTGTGTGTGTGTGTGTGTGTGTGTGTGTGTGTGTGTGTGTGTGTGTGTGTGTGTGTGTGTGTGTGTGTGTGTGTGTGTGTGTGTGTGTGTGTGTGTGTGTGTGTGTGTGTGTGTGTGTGTGTGTGTGTGTGTGTGTGTGTGTGTGTGTGTGTGTGTGTGTGTGTGTGTGTGTGTGTGTGTGTGTGTGTGTGTGTGTGTGTGTGTGTGTGTGTGTGTGTGTGTGTGTGTGTGTGTGTGTGTGTGTGTGTGTGTGTGTGTGTGTGTGTGTGTGTGTGTGTGTGTGTGTGTGTGTGTGTGTGTGTGTGTGTGTGTGTGTGTGTGTGTGTGTGTGTGTTTTTGTGTGTGTGTGTGTTTTTGTGTGTGTGTGTTTTTGTGTGTGTGTTTTTGTGTGTGTGTGTGTGTGTGTGTTTTTGTGTGTGTGTTTTTGTGTGTGTGTGTGTGTGTTTTTGTGTGTGTGTGTTTTTGTGTGTGTGTGTGTGTGTGTGTGTGTGTGTGTGTGTGTGTGTGTGTGTGTGTGTGTGTGTGTGTGTGCTATGGTTTGTGCACCAGGGAAGTGAACCCTGAGGAGTTCCCTTACTGGTTCCTTCCCTGTGATTGTGTACTCCCCAAGTTCATTCTTAAGGGTGTTAATTGTGTGTTGTGTGTCTTTTGAGAGAATTTTTTGGAGCCTGGCACATTCTTGAGTGCTTGCTATCTCCTCACAGTGCCTTCTCCAAGACTCTCTCTTGACTTTTCGTAAAGCAATGTTGTAACAAATGCGTATGGTTCTATATAGTTCCCATTCGCCGGTTATTTTAGCCTTATTAAATTTTTGTCTCACCTTATCGTCTTTCTCATCTTCGGAAGATTACATTCAATATTACCTTTAATATTGAAAATTATGTGTCTGTGATCTGATAAACTCTCTTCGTCAGACACATGCCAGTCTGTAACAAACTTACTCAAGTATGTTGATGCTATTGTTACATCTAGTACCTCCTTTCTGTTTTTTGTTATAAAGGTCGGTTTATTGTCTACATTTGTTATGTCTAAATTATTTGCCATAATAAATCGTAGTAAAGACTCACCTCTTTCGTTGGTATTGGTGCTCCCCCAGATCCTGTGGTGTGCGTTTGCATCACAACCAATGATCATCTGCATTCCGTTGCGCCTGCAGAATCTCACCAGCTCCTCTTCTCTGGTAGGTGTTGCTTCAGGATCGTCTGAAGGTAGATATGCCGATCCGAGTATTACCTCTTTCGGTCCATTTCCTGCATCGATCTTGATTATGACTGCTGTCAAATCTCTGGAACAGAAATTAGTTAACGGCAGTATTTTTATGCCTTTTTTGACAATTATGCAGGTTCGAGGGGTGTCTGTGGATCTGTAATTTCTTACTTATACATGTTATTAATTTAGAATATTTTATGAATATACATTTTGTAGAAGACATTTTATCTCTATTGCGCAAATATGGGGTAATTTTCTGATTTCTTCCTATATTTGTGTTTTTTAATGGACTGTATGATTAGATTTTACTGGTTTCGGGTATTCAAACTGCGACACCACTTTTAATAGAGTTTATTACAATACTATTCGGTATACAACAAAATAACAAGTTGTTGATACGAAACACAGGCACAAAACAATGCTAGAATATGTCTAGTATGAGGCTACTTGCTTTTATAAAATGATTTACTTGATAACACACCGAGCTAATAAGTTTTAATTCACTTTTTCCGATAAATAATAATGCCGGCCGGCTAACGCCCACAAAGTGCGGGAAACTCACATATTACCACGAGCACACCCTTCTCGTCTTAAGTCATGAGAGGAGATAGAAAATAAGCGCGAATTGCCAGGGTTGGTTGGAATTACGTCATGAACTACCAATGGTACCTATCAGACGCAAATGTGATGTTGGTTGCATGATGTTAGATGCGGTTTGGCATTTAATTATGTAATAAGAGGCGAGAGAAACAAATATATTTAAATTCGCTGACTAGCGGCGTAGGGGAAAGAGTAGTAATATAATTGATATATTCTGGCGGAGAATAATAACTCTTCATTTTTTATGTATGTTTAGCGATAATGCTTTACCACCTTGTCCGATTTATATTATTCTTTTTTTGTTAGTAAGGGGGTACCTCAGGGGTGGTCCCATATAAATTTGGTTAAGATGTGGTGATGGCATCTGCACGTTTTTAAAGTCGGTTTTTTAAATTTTTAATTTCTAATACTTGTTATATATATACTCGTGCTGCTACTATACATTAAACCATTAATTTCCTAAACCAACCCTGGCATCCAAAACGCATGTTTAGAAGAAAGTCATATTTAGTAAGACTGATTGAAAATAATTAAAATTAACAACACCTATGCCTATGAAGACTAGAGCAGAGATAAGGGAGATAAAGATAGGAAACGCTCAAAAGAAGCCAATGCTTATCAACGACCAGCTTCAACGCAGTTAACATCTGACCCACAATGTGGCGCTTTTATCAATATCAAACAACGCAGCGGAAATTTTAAAACCTGTTGTGGTTCATTTGTGCTACCATCATAAGCTGTTACTGCTAAGTTACTACAGGAAAATTTTTAAGAAAATGTAATCGTTCAATTAAGATAAATTTACCTAATTGGAATTGAAAATAGGATAAGAGAAAAATCAATTGAGATGAAGTTTTTAAATAGAGGTAGAGGAATTTTGGGAATTAGAAATTATACAATAAGCAAATAATAAGACAAAGCTAAGAAAATGCAACTAATAAAAAATTATTTAAATTAAATTGGCTGGAAATAATCAATTGCACAGGAAGCTAATGGAATGGATTAAAGAAAAGCTTTTTTAGAGAAATTTTTGGGAATTGAAAACGAACTACATCAGACATCAGACAAAATGGATCAAAAATCATTTTTTTTAATCTTGGGAAAATCCGAAAAATAACACTTCCAAGCTTTTTCAATTTTTCTTTGGTTTGTTTTTACTTTGGAGATATGAGGGTGTAATTATCATAATTTCTTAGGGAGAATAAGGGATTTTTCACTTTTGAAATCTGCATTTAGTTTTCGAATCTAAACCGATTTTTTCACTTCACTTCTAAAATTAGTTATTGTTGACTAGACAAGCGATAGAAAAAATAGTGAATAGAGAAAATTACATTGGAAAAACTAATGGCAAGAAACAAAGCTAATCTAATCAATTCAGTAAATGGAAAACCTATAAAGAGAGTTAAGTAAAGAAATTGGTCCAAAAGGAAGGTAATTGAAAAATCAGCGTCAACAGACTGATTTCAATATGTCAATGAAGTAAGTTAAAAGCAATAAAAAGAGTGAGATAGTAACAAACGGTAAAAAAACAATTGAAAAATTACCATTAAGGCATTTAGCCAATACTACGTAATACTACAATCTGTAAGAAAAAGTAAGCTAAGAGGAGATCATATCCTCGCTTGTCTTCTGAGGTACTACAGCTCGCAAGACCCCAGATTTCTACCATTGTAGGATTACTAACGGGGCACTGCTTGTTAAAACGCTTTTATATGATGGGATTTCACAATTATTTCACCACGCGTAAATTCTGTATGGAAAATCAAGAAACCTCATACCACGTTATCTTCGGCTAGCTAGGCGGTGACATACCCTTTTCGGTCTGGAAACGGAGAAGCGACAAAGGATCACTTGGTACGGAACCTTGTAAAACTAACCAAAGGCAGAAGACTACTCAAACATAGTATCTGCAGGGTAATATAATATACCACAGAGGCCTAAGCTATAATATGTAACCCTATCTGCTTTTAACAGATAAAAAAGTAAAGATCAAAGCGAGAAGGATAAAGAAGTTAAACACTAACAACTAGAGAACTTAACAACATACTCAAAAATCTATTATGAAAATAACTATTAATTTATATTTTAGGAAAAACAATTCTGGCTGGGTCTGGGACCATTTCCTCACTACCCCGCCGATGTCAACTTACATAGTAGGCTTCACCATAAGCGACATGAAGAGTATCACGGCCAACAATAACGCGGGTCCGGCTCTCAAAATTTGGGCTCCTGAAGGTGATCTGCCACATGCTCAATACGCTCTCGATGTTACAATGGAACTTCTACCTTTCATGGAAGAATACTTTGATATGCAGTACCCGCTGCCAAAACTGGATTTATTGGCTATTCCGAATTTTGGAAAGGCTGCTATGGAAAACTGGGGAATTATTTCATTTAGGTGAGTGTGCTAGATAAATGGCTTCATAACCCTTTTATAATTAAAAATGTAAACTAGTGACCGTATATGCAACACAATTTTAATTTGATTTATACCTACAGAAACTTGTAATATGTTAATTTTTACAGAAAATCGTCTGTGCTTTTTGACCCGTCCTCAACAAGTATTAGAACCAGAAGTTACATTTTAGCAAAAATAGCTCACGAGTTGGTTCACCAGTGGTTTGGTAACCTCGTTACTATGGAATGGTGGTCTGATCTTTGGTTGAACGAAGGTTTGGGTAGTTTTGTCTCAGAAGTGGCAATAGTGACAGTAAGTAATTAGAACTAAACTGCTTATTTCTCTATTTAAAGTCTTCCTATTTCTAAACAAGAAATTTAATCATAGAGATAGGAAGCAGGCTTAAACTTCTATGGTGCTGAAATCGAGATACATATTACTAATGCTATCGAAATACCAGCCTAATAAACCTGTATTTTTTTCTATTTGCCTATCTATACAATTTCAGTGCCTTTATCTCTCAATGTTCCTTCATGTTTTGTATTGGTTCTCCCTTTCTGCTCTTTTCTCAATTATTCTTCCCTGTTATTTCTTGACCTTTTTCTTATTTTTCTTTTTAACCATTTCTGCTTCTATTTTCAATATTCCATTCTTATCTTTAACATATACATTTTTAATCTATTTATTTAATATTTTTTAGTTACGGCCAAAATGGCATGCATATAGCAGTTTAAAAGTGCGAGACACTTATAACACTTTAAATTACGATAGTTTGAAATCAACCAAGAGTATACAAGGCGAAGTGTCTACCAACGCCCAAATAGAACAAATTTTCGACAATCTTATTTACCAAAAAGGCAGCAGTATATTAAAAATGTTGAATTCGACTCTTTCACAGGAAGTATTCAAAAAAGGCTTGCAACATTTCGTCAAAAAATAGTGAGTAAAATAAATAAAATAACTAGGAATATTACTTTTCTTGTGTACGGTATTGAGTAGTACAATACTAGATGTTTTATATAATAGTCTTATTTTACCGTATTTATAGCGCCTACCAATCTGCCACCCAAGACGACCTTTGGTCCCACTACACACTCACGGCTCAAAATCAAAGTTTGATTCCAAGTACGGTCACCGTCAAAGAACTCATGAATTCTTGGTCAATGCAAAGTGGTTATCCCTTAGTAACCATCACCAGAAACTACAGTACTGGTGTCGCTACCATCAACCAAACCAAAATGACCGAAGGTAGTAATTTAACATCAGACGAACTATGGTACATTCCTATAACTTATATTACGAAGACTGAGGCTGAAATTAAAGAAATCTGGTTAGAACATACTCGAGAAACTAATTTGAACTTGAGTGGTTTAGTAAATGCAAGTTGGATTCTAGCTAATATTGAAGAAACAGGTAAGATTAACGTTATTTGAGGACATTTAAATAAAACTATACGTCGTTCGTAGTGAACGACGATACTCCTAGTATTTGGCCAATTTTCGTAATTAATTTCTTGTTATCCGGAAATGATCAGCAAAACTTTAAGGGAAATATGATTAATCTAAATGAAAACTTTTGTTAGACCGATCAGAGGTACCTATTAAAATTTTCATTTTAACTACAAATCAGCTTTGAAGGTTGAGATATCAATAAAATGTCTACCTCTTGAACCTGTACTACGTTCTGTAAATTAAATTACTGCACATCTTTCTTCTCTAGACTATAATGGAGAACACTCTTGCATGCAAAAAAATGTATTAGAAGGTGTTTCAAAACCAACCATCGTATTTTGGCAAGAATATACCAAGCCTAAACCGTAAGCAAAACCCTCTACATTCCAAGCTGACATCCAAACAACTGTTGCATGCCAGAAAGAGAATATAGATCGGAAATAACTTGTTAAACTCAATTTCTAAAGACTCCAAAAAGCCAGTAATTATTAAATATTTTTGAACCAAACTAAATAAAGTCCAAACTAGTATGGGATTGTCTAAACCCTGCAAAATCCTGGACACTAATATGGATGTCAGAGAACATATTTTAACAAAACTAAAACTTGCAGAATATTATAGTATAACTAATCTTTTTGCTTTAGGTTTCTATAGAGTGAACTACGATACTCATAACTGGAAGCTACTAATCTATCAACTTAGAACCAGTTCCAGTCAAATCCCAGTAGCGACTAGAGGACAGCTCATAGACGATGCGTTTGCTTTAGCAGAATCCGGCTTAATCAACTATACCATAGCGTTCGACCTAGTTAAATACCTCTACATAACAGAACCTAACTACATACCCTGGTACGCTGCTTTAAGAAACATGGAAGAACTTAGGACAATTATTAGTAACTACGAGTACTCCGGTTTGTACGACAGCTTTCTGTTAAAACTCGTCAAGCCCATGTTTAATGAGTTGGGAACTGATACAAGAGTGTATGATACACAAAACGAGAAGCTATTAAGGTTACACATAGTCACTTCAGCTTGTAAGTTGAGATATGGGAATTGTATATCTTGGGCTCGAAACGAATATTATAAATGGATCCAAATGGCAGATCCGGATATTGCTAATCCCATATCGGTGGATTATCGTTACATAGTTCAATGTTCAGCTATAAAATCTGGAGGTCTAGTTGAATGGGACTTCTTGTGGAACAGAACTTTATCACCAACAATTGCTCCAGTCGACTTGCAGACAGCGTATCAAAGTTTAGGGTGCACCTACGATCCATGGCTGATAAACAGATATTTAGAATTCGCCTTAGCAGGGAACATCAGTTTAGAAAATGTACCGTACGTTTGGCAGTCTATAAATCACCCTGTTGGAGTTAGAACGGGGTTCCAATATTTGAGATTGAATTGGGACAGGATTTACAAGACTTACGAAGAAGTGCCTCTCGTTTTCAATACTATTTTCCATGATTTCTTGAGTCAGTTTTCAACTGAAGCTGACCTTGAAGATGTAAGTATTTTGTATTGTAATTACAATTTGTTTAGGACGTACTAATTAATTAATATAATACTTAGGCACTAACTCACAATTCTAATTTATTTATTACAATTTAACTTTTCTGTCTAACACTTTTTACTAAACTAAACTGTTCATCGATGAGCCGGTTATTTATACCAAATCCAACTCTGCTACGAGAAGTCTCTAGATGCTCCAGAAAATTCCATCTCTGATTCAACGGCACTTTCCGTCCGTTCTAGCCGTTTCTCGAGCATCAGCGGCATTCCTAGAAGATTCCGTCGTTTCTAGCATGAGTCGGGTGCCAAGTTGAAGGTCGCTTGCTTTAGACAGGGTCGGCTTAGGAATTTCATGACAGTATTATTTACATAAAGCGACTAAGATGCAAATCTTTTTTATTTTAACAGTTACCTTCTCTAAAGATACCTATTAACAATATTTGTTTAGTTATTCTAATGATTAAATTTTCTTCCATTATCATGTTTTTTATCTTTGTTGTGCCATTATTATCAAAATTGAAGTTGTTTTGTTAACATTTTACCTTTAGGTGTACTTGATTCTTAACCTGTATCTCTTACATTTTCTGGTCAATCTGATGCTTGCCACAAACCAAATTATAAATTTTTTGGGTTGTTGTAGTTATCTTATCACTTGGAGCACTCAAACATTATTGATATGTCTCCTATACAGGGTACCGTAAACTAAGGGACTTGTAGATCTTAACTAATGATTAAGAAAAGCTAAATATAATTTTCCTGTAAACGTTCCAGTTTTCATTTTACAGGGTGATAAAGTGAATTTTATAAATACATATTTTTCTAAATATCTTCCCTTACGGTAAAGACTTTTATACTTAAATTAGGTTATTTTATTTAATCGTCATTATTAGTTAACACACTCTATTTTGATAAATTACGATAATCCATTGTCATAAAAATTATTATTATTATTATTATTATTATTATTATTATTATTATTATTATTATTATTATTATTATTATTATTATTATTATTATTATTATTATTATTTTTATTATTATTATTATTATTTATTATTATTATTATTATTATTATTATTATTATTATTATTATTATTATTATTATTATTATTTTTATTATTATTATTATTATTATTATTATTATTATTATTATTATTATTATTATTATTATTATTATTATTATTATTATTATTATTATTATTATTATTATTATTATTATTATTATTATTATTATTATTATTATTATTATTATTATTATTATTATTATTATTATTATTATTATTATTATTATTATTATTATTATTATTATTATTATTATTATTATTATTATTATTATTATTATTATTATTATTATTATTATTATTATTATTATTATTATTATTATTATTATTATTATTATTATTATTATTATTATTATTATTATTATTATTATTATTATTATTATTATTATTATTATTATTATTATTATTATTATTATTATTATTATTATTATTATTATTATTATTATTATTATTACTATTATTATTATTATTATTATTATTATTATTATTATTATTATTATTATTATTATTATTATTATTATTATTATTATTATTATTATTATTATTATTATTATTATTATTATTATTATTATTATTATTATTATTATTATTATTATTATTATTATTATTATTATTATTATTATTATTATTATTATTATTATTATTATTATTATTATTATTATTATTAATATTATTATTATTATTATTATTATTATTATTATTATTATTATTATTATTATTATTATTATTATTATTATTATTATTATTATTATTTTAATTTAGATATGGATGGTCTTAATGAAAGGGCTAGTCATTTTAGAAATATTTTAAGTATGTACGGACTTATAAATTTAATTCATATCCCAACAAGGATCACACCAACATCAAGATCACGACTTGATAACATTGTTACCAGTGTCGCCCTTAACGAACTTAATGCAGGTGTGTTAGACACTGATATTGGAGATCATCAAGCACTCTATTTATCACTGTTAAATATTTGTAAATCAGAAGTACCAGATATAAAAAAAAGAATAATAAATGATAAAAGTATCGATGCATTTGCAAAAAATTTAAGTAAAGTTGACTGGAGCAATCTTAACATTCACAACGCGAATTCAAATAATACTGCTGATTTTATCCTCAGAACCCTTCAGGAAAATGCTCATATAACTTTTCCTTTAAAATCATTAAAAAAACAAAAACATCCTATAAACTGGTTTAATGACTCTTTAAGGGAAATGAGAAAAAACGTTTTTAGTATGAAAAATAAATTTAAAAAAACCAACTGTCTTACTGATTGGGAAGCATACACATCTTTACGAAAATCGTATAAAAAAATATTAAAGGATCACAAAAGGAACGCATACTCGTCACTAATAGAAAATTCCGAGAATAAAAGTAAAACAACCTGGCAATTAGTAAACTCTGAAAGAAACGTAAAAAATAAAAATGAAACATCAACAACAATCTCGGTTAATGATCTTAATAATTTTTTTAGCACAGTATCACAAAAAATTACTAACTCAATTTTAGATACAAACATTAACCCAATGTATTATGTAAATAAATTAGTGAAATCTCCTTCTTCATTTTTTATGGGACCCATATTGGATAGCGACGTACGTGAAGCTGTGTTAAGTCTAAAAAATAGTGCATGTCTTGATTTTTATGATATTAATAGTAAAATTATAAAATTTTCCCTCAATATAATTATTCAACCTCTTACAATTTTATATAACCAGTGTCTTAATGATGGAATTTGGCCGGAAGCTTTTAAAATTTCTAAAATTCTTCCTATCCACAAAAAAGGTGATACAGATAATTGCGATAATTACAGGCCAATTGCAATTATACCAATTTTAAGTAAAATATTCGAAATCCTCATTAAAGGAAAATTATTAAGTTACTGTGAGCATAAAAATATTTTGACGCCAGCGCAATACGGCTTTAGAAAAAATAGGTCGACAACCAAAGCATTGCTTGATTTAATTGAATATGCAGTTGAAGGTCTAGACGAGCGAAAAAGTACTGATGTTACCTTTTGTGATCTTAGCAAAGCTTTTGACTGTGTAGATTCCGAAATACTAGTTAAAAAACTTGAATTTTACGGTATAAGATCTAAAGAATTGCGTCTATTTCAGTCTTATCTGTCAAACAGGAAACAATATGTTCACTATGATGGTGTTAATTCTGATATCGTCTCTATAGAGAATGGCGTTCCACAGGGCTCTGTTCTGGGTCCTGTGCTATTTCTCCTCTATATTAACGACTTGCCAGTCGCAGTAAGACATTCTAAATGTCTCCTGTTTGCAGACGATACATCTATTTTGTCACGGGATAACATATTGGAAAACATAGAGGATATGACCTCAGTAAAAGAGTGGTTCTCTACAAATCATTTAAAGCTAAACGAAGCTAAAAACCAAAATTTAATTATCAGCTCAAGTAAGTTGACTGAAAAATCAGATCCAGTCATATACGTAGGTATAACTCTTGATACTTATCTAAATTGGCAACCTCATGTGTCTTCCTTATGTTCAAAATTAGCGTCCCAGATATTTGCCCTTCGACAGTTAAGACCTTCCTTATCTAACCACATTTTGAGAATTGTATATTTTGCAATTGTACACTCCCATCTTAACTATGGCATAATTCTTTGGGGTAACTCATCAGGAGCCGAAGCCGTATTTAAAATTCAAAAATCAGCCATGAGGATTGTAGATAGTACCAATTGGGATGCACATTGCAAACCATTATTTGCGAAATATTCAATTTTACCCTTACCATGTATGTATATTCTTGAGGTAGTTAGTTACATTCATCAACATCACGACAAGTTTATTTCCCACTCGGATATACACAATTATCCCACTAGAAATACTAATAAATTAGTTCCACATTTTTCTAGGATTCAAACAACTAAACAAAATAAACTCGATGTAAGACTTTATAACAAAATAGTTAAAATATATAGTAGTGAGGACCTCAAGAATATACCTACAAATAGGTTTAGGCAGAAAGTGAAATTTTTTTTAATGGAAAACTGTTTTTACTCTATTGAGGAATTTATACAATATTAACGATAAATTATATGAATTTTAAATTGTGATTTTAAAACTGTATGTATACATTATTTGATTTTAATTTTGTAATTGTAATTTTATAGCTATTTGTTGTTTTAATTTTGTAAATGTAATTTTGTGGTTACAATAACGTTAATAATTTTATAGTTTTAAATTTTTGACTTTGTAATACATGTAATTGTAATTTTAAATTTTGTGACCCAAGACGTATTTCTTGTATGTATAATGGTCAATAAATGGTATGGTATGGTATGGTATGGTATGGTATTATTATTATTATTATTATTATTATTATTATTATTATTATTATTATTATTATTATTATTATTATTATTATTATTATTATTATTATTATTATTATTATTATTATTATTATTATTATTATTATTATTATTATTATTATTATTATTATTATTATTATTATTATTATTATTATTATTATTATTATTATTATTATTATTATTATTATTATTATTATTATTATTATTATTATTATTATTATTATTATTATTATTATTATTATTATTATTATTATTATTATTATTATTATTATTATTATTATTATTATTATTATTATTATTATTATTATTATTATTATTATTATTATTATTATTATTATTATTATTATTATTATTATTATTATTATTATTATTATTATTATTATTATTATTATTATTATTATTATTATTATTATTATTATTATTATTATTATTATTATTATTATTATTATTATTATTATTATTATTATTATTATTATTATTATTATTATTATTATTATTATTATTATTATTATTATTATTATTATTATTATTATTATTATTATTATTATTATTATTATTATTATTATTATTATTATTATTATTATTATT